GAGAAGTTGAATAGCAAATGGAAAGTTTTTGTTCCGGAAGGTATCTGAGTATCTGTGGAGCCTCCTTCTTTCATACACCGTAATCATCTTTCACACAGTGTAATCATCATAGCAACTGTCAAAGCTCTGCTGAAATGACTTCCAAATTGCACTGAATTGCAAGGTCTGGGTGATGCTCAGTGTGGTAGACAGAATAATTGTCCCCTCTTTCCTTTGCCCAATGAAGTCTATACCTTAATTTATAGAACTCGTGAATACGTTACTTTATATAGCAGAAGGTCTTTACAGATGTGTTTAAGGTCGAGACCTGAGATGGGTGAATGATCCTGAACTGTCCAAGGGAGTACAACGGCAGGGACCTTAAAAGCAAGAACTTTTCCGGGTGTAGTCAGGGTGGGATGTGACTTTAGAAGAATGGTACAGAGACGTGGAATGTAGCTGGCTTTGGAAATGGATAAAAGGGGCTGTTAGCCAAGGACTGTGGACAGCTTCTAGGAGCTGGAAAAGGCCAGGAAAGTAGCATGGCCAACACCTTAATTTTAGCTCATTGAGATCCATGTTGGACTTCCGACCTATACAACAATCATTTGTGTTGTTTTCATCCACTGAAATTGTACATGTTACGGCAGCAACAGAAAGCTAACATGACCAGAAGTATTGGTTGAAAATTTTCTTTGTGTGTCAGAACATTTGCAAAACATAGGTCTGATCCTTCCTCATCCCCTCTATCCAATTAGACTCTACATGCTGTTGATTTTACTCATGGACATGATACCGATGACACTAGCAACTACCCTCTGAGTACTGGCTTCACGCCAGACACTTGGTAGACAACTTCATAACTTGCTGAGTAGGTAATATTTTATTTTTATTAGATAATGAAATTAAGACTCTGAGAGTTAAGTGACCCTACCCAGATAGAAGCAGCAGGATTCAAACTCCATTGTCTTCTCTGGCAGGCCCCTCTGGGAAAAACCTCACCTGCATCCTGGAATCTGGAATCTCTGAACTTTCCTCTTCATCTCCATAATGGCACTGGTATAGTTTCTTATTTCCCATCACAGCTTCTTGGTATTTTTTTTTTTTATTATTTTTTAGGTTTTTGGCATAGGGCTCATGACAGCGACCAGCTACAGTGAGAGGGAAAGTTAGAAATCACTCCCAAGGCATCCCCAGATCTCATCCCTGACAATTCATCATGCAGTGTAGGCAGAACAACTTCTCTAACACAGAGACCCACTCTCACCACTTTTCTGCTTAAACCATCCTAAGGGTTCCTACTTCATGCTGCTTGAAGTCCCACTTCCTCAGCATTCAAAGCTCTTCACAACCTGGCCTAGTGTCCAATTTATTCCTTCAAACCTGCCACACTCCAGACCCAACAACACATTAACTTTGCACCAGACTATGCCATGCATTTTCCCTCACTATATTAACCTCCTCATGTGATAGACAAGGAAACTGGGTCAGAGATGTGAAGGTAGCTGTCCTAGGTAACATGCTTGTATGAAGCAGAGTCAACCCTAGATCCCTCTTAGACCACTCTGGAGTCTTAAAGATAAAATCTCTTATCCCTCTACTTCTCACCTCTGCTGCCTTTACTGAGTGAAAACTAACCTTCTTTGTGGGGAGTACTATAGTACCTCCTATCTGTTCTCCACAAGGAATGGAAATCTAATCATGCTTCTTTACTGCTTCCAATCCTTCAACAGCTATTCATTGCCCTTAAAGACTTAAACACTTAAGGGAGTTGCCCCACATGCCTTTCCAGCTCCATCTCAGGTCCCTCTGCCTCTCACGGACCTGCACTTTCAGACTCCTTCACATGCTCTCCCCCACCTCAGAACTTGTGCACATGCCATTTTCTCTACTGTACTCTTCCTCCTCTCCATCTCTCTTCCTCACCCTTGATGGGCCTTCAGCTAGCCCTTCCCCAGCATGCCTCCCTGACTGCCAGACTAGGAGTAGGCCCTCCATAGATGCTCCCACTGTTTCTAGTTCATCCCCAATTTATCAGTTTGCAATTGTGTGTGTGTGTGTGTGTGTGTTTGTGTGGTTGATTTTGTGTTCTTTTCTCTCAAACTCTATGCTCCATGAATTTTTGCAGGGACTTTGTGCACTTATGTGTCTCCTATGCTGTTCACCTGGAATGAGGATGAGTTCAGCAATTACCTGTTGAATAAATAAGCACTAACTGGCCCCTGCTGTGACACAGATCTTGTAGCTGCCATTAGTGTGTCATATAAAGGAAACAGCAAGGAAGGTACCAAATGTTTCAATGTTGAAAACACAGAATTTGGATATCCTATCATGTGGGCTGTTTGTTGTTGCTGGTATTAATTGTTATCTTGCTTTGTTTGGGGAAAATGATTCAAATGACAAAAACAAACAGTCACAGGGAAACATTTAACTGTAAGAAAAACTCTAAACTGTCAAATGTATACACTTACATGAATCTTATTTAAGAACATGAATAGGGACTCATAACAAATTCTTAGGAAATGGGTATTTTTTAACTGTAATATCTTGAAGGCCAAAGCTGCACAATTGGACAGAGAACAGTATTTATTTTCTACATGCAGGACAGGCCATACGCGACACCCTATGTATAGAACACCAGACATAGCTGATTCCAAAATTATCCTTGCTTTCCACTTCTTTTCACACATTTCTGATGATGCCATCTGATCCCAAAGTGTTTCAAATACTTTTAGGCTTTTTAGCATTTGGATGTCTTTTATCATTGAAGGAATGCTGATGAGCTCTATTTAACTTAAAGGTGTTTTCAAGTTGCTTTTGTTAGGAATTTGAACAATATGCATTGTTTTCTCAAGAGTTTATCTGTCATTTTCCTGTTCAGAGAGTATAATACCTTAATTGCAAATTTATCTTAAAATAATGCTGTTCTTTTCCTTCCCAACACTGGAGAAATATTTTGTGCTTTTTTCTTAAACCTCTTCCATGAAATACATTTCTTATCTGGTACCTTCCTTGAACAACTCATAATTTGAAGACAAAACATTATTTGGGGTAGCTACTAGAATGCAAAATTCATGATGGCAGTGGCCACGTTTGTCTTATCTCTGCTGTGTCCTCACTGCATAGCACATAGGAGACCATAAATATTTTCAAATGAACTTGAATAAATTTATATTTATTTACTAAACTTTTTACAGTAAAATAATACTTGATTGCTTTAGAAGAATTAGAAAAACAAGAAGGAAAAGAAAAGATACTATACTATTTAAAGATAATCACTATTAACATTTTGGCGCATTCTTTCAGACTTTTTTTTTTCTATGCATGTATATATTGGGTTGTTGGAAAAGTCATGATGCATTTTTTGCATAAAAGAATAGAAAAAAAGTCATGACTTTTTCAGTAACCTAATATATGTTCTTTTTACAACATGCTATACATACAATTTTCTAACATATATATGAATATATTTGTTTACAATAAACTAAATGTATGTATTCCATCCTATCAAGATGTTCAATTACATCATTAACAATGACTGTGTATTATTTCACAGTAAGGATGAATTACAGTTTATGTAAGTAATTATACTAGGAAATATTGTCACGGCAGTAAATGCTTTTATTTTCATGTTAGGAAAATAAGGCATCATGATTACTAGGGAGTGATCATGCACGGCCAGAATTCAGTATAAAATGCTTAATCTAAAATTACTGAGAGCATGCTTCTTTGATGGACTGGGAACATTCTAGAATGACTTTCTATGTGGACATAAATATTCTTCCTTTCAGAAGGCTATCAACAAACAAAACAATAGCTCTGGTACTTCTGACATCAAGAAAGGAACCCCAACCCAGTTTTCTTAATGCCACCAAACGGCTCCCAATGATAGAAAAAATAATTGCCATATTTATCTGTGTATGAGAAATTCTGCATGGAAATTGAGGTCATTTCAATTCCTTTGTTTCCCTGTGTCTGAGAAAACTAGCCTCTCATTTCAACTCATCTTAACCTATCCTGATGGTAGAGTGACAGATCTAGACTATGTTATGAAAATCAGAGGTTTATTTTCAAGAAAAACTGACCCCAACTGATAATAACATACGATATTGTTTCTAAGACTGGTTTTGAAATTATTTTGCACTTGAGACTCAGTGGAACTTGCCACGTATGGTGGGCCAGTGCTGAGATATGCCAGGAATGGCCATTATTGTCATGATTTATGAAAATGTAGAACTTGGTGAGGGCCTGTATACCTGGCAAAAGAGAATTTCTGCTGGTAGCATGAAGCTCCCCCAGCATACACACACACACACACACACACACAAGTAGATTTCATATACCTTATAACATATTGAAAAATTCCCACCTAGAAATTGCCATAGAGCATAAATCAAACTGGATTTCTCCAGAGCTCACTACTAGGATCGAAAAGGTTCTATAAGTGTCTATTCAGTGGAAAAGTAGCAACATCTTGTCTCTAGATGGGAATTTCAACAACGAGGTATTTCAGAGAATTTAGATGAAGTCTTCCCAAGCCAGTTTCACAGTTGGAATAAGTGAGTGTGTTCTATAAATGGTAAAGGCTAACTAAGGTTAACATATATCAAACAAGTTAAATTTATCAAGTAATTGGCTAAAATATTTTTAATGTATTTACTGTAAGTTTTCATTCAAATGAAGTACTTCTAATAAAATCTTGGACCCAGAATTAAACTCCTCAGAATATATATATATATATAAACCTAAATTAAACTGAGATCATCATTGATTATTCTGAGGTGAAAGAGTCATTATTCCATGCTGCCCATGGGCAAAAACAAGACTTAAGGCTTACAAGTTTGAAAGACGGTAGCAGAAATTGGGATTGGGAAGGGATATTTTTCCATCTCTGCCAAGAAGAGCTTATCCGTCCTCAGTTGTTAGGGCTGGTTCTTGGGCCCTTTGAGTCTACCCCTTAGTACTCAGTACAGTGCCTGACACAGCACATGTTCTTAGATGTTTCCAGATGAGGCCGAGAGGATTAGCACACAGGGAGGGTCTGAGTTCTCCATTATCTTCTATGAGCCCACGACGAGCCTTCGGCTGATAGCTCCTGGCAGAGTATAGATGAAAAGGACCAGGAAGATAATCAGGATGATCAGAATAAAACCAATGATGATGTACTTCTTGTAATTCTTCCAGATCAGGTGATACAGGCACTTGAAGGGGCTCACAAACCAGGAGAAGGAGGTGTCTGGGCGGCTGAGGAAGAAGCAAGAGAAAAATCAGGAAAGGGAGTCATAGTGTCAGCACTTGGGATTCTTGATTTCAGAAAGTATTTCTGAGTCTCTCTTTCTGAAGATCCACAAAAAAGGCCTAAGAATGGGAGAAAACTATATTGCTTGAGGCAGGAACAATATAACATTTAGATAATAATTCCTGCATCATGTTTTATATATGTATACATTTATATATATATTTATTATTATTATTATTAACAATTCTATTCCTATACATCATTTGGTTTGTAAAGAGAATTTATCCAACATGAAATATACTTCAGACCAGTCGAGTTAAGAATACTATACACTTTATAATCAAGAATTCCTGCATCATTTTGAAGGATGCTCTGGAGTAGAGCGAGAGCCTAGTTAGACCCCAGCCAGAGGTCCTGTCACCCTCCATCTGTCTGGCTACGATCAGCTTAAACCCTATCTTTTTTTTTTTTTTTAAAGGATTTTTTTAAAGAATTATTTTATTTAACTCTATTTATTTATTTAAATTTTACCAGAGAGACAGAGGGAGAGAGAGAAAGTGAAGAAACAAGCCACCAGGTCTGGGACTTGAATTGCAGTTGCCCACGTGGGAGTCCAGTGCCCTTAACCACCACAGCACCTGCAGGACCCAGCCCTATCTTCTTAAAGCATACTCTGGTCACTATAATGAGCCTCCTCCAAATTCCTATCTCACTATCATTTGCCTTATCCCCTTTAGAAACTAGTATCTTCTACATTCTGATAATTATTTTATGAGTCTCTGTGTTATTTCTTCCTAAATAAATTAGTGGCTCTAGAATATATAGCTTATATCTTTTCTCCTGTGTTCTCCAAAGTGTTCATTTCATAGGTGCTTAGTAAATAATTTTGAATTCGTGAATAATAAATAATTTTGAATTAGTGAATAACAAAACACCCATTATGTTTCTAATACTGTGAGAGATAAAAGGTGAGACAAGACCATTCATCCACACTTGATGGCTGGGGAGAGATAGGACATATACAATCTCAAAGATTATTTTGTATATTTTATATTTATGTCTGTTCACTTTTTAAATGAATATGTAACCAAGGATCAAATTTAATAGAGCAACCCTTTTCTAGTCATTCTACCTCTGGGAATTTATTTTAAAATAAATATGTATAAAGGGAAAACATTTTAATAATATAATAATAATAAAAGATAGAAATAAATGCACTATCCTATTATGGGGTGGCGAGCAGGTCCATTACGTGACTTTCCATGGCTGTTAAAAATCCTAATTGTGCTCACAATGGTAACAAAGTAAAATTTCTCAGTAAAGGTTAAGGAAACGTTAAGACAATTCTATATGCATGATTAGAGAGCTAGTAGAAAAAAAATATGTGGAATTCATATTTACATTAATAAATAGGTAGAAAAAATATATGCAATGATTCTAGAAATACTACGTGGCAGTACTACAGACAAGCTCCTTCTCCATTTGCCAGACACTGTAATGTTTCCAAAATGCTTTTCATTGTAGAAACAAAAAGGTATTGCTTAGATTGGATAGGACTGATTGCCTCCTGTTTTCTCCATTTTCCCAGAGGATGCTGGAAAGAAAAGCCCACCTGCTTTTTCTGGTACAAATTGGGACTATGAAGGTTCTTTCCCATTTCTGATGTTCCTACCCACAACTCTACTCACTTGGGCTTGGCTAGGGGCTCTGGCTCCTTTCGAGCTTTTCCAACAGGATTTTTCTCAGCTTCTTCTGCTGTAACTAGATGAAACTCTGCTTCAACCTTGCCCTGCATAAACACATGATAGCATTAGTTTCTAATCACAAAAATCCACTGGGGCAATGCTAGCCTCCTAGAAGCGTTATCAGGTAGGATAATAATGAAAGTATTTTGATTACTTGGCTGCTTTATTTTGAAAAGTATTCTTGTCCTTTTGGTTGTTGAAAAAGCCATTCTTAGGATAAACAATGAAAGCTCTGGGATGGTATTACTGTAGAGTTTTGTGAAAGAATAGGGTCCCACATATACACACAGACACACATACACTCAGTCACATACACTACTCCACTTGTAATCATTTAATATCTGAAGAAATACTACTAATTATAGAGACTACTAGTAATTAGTAAGCGGACTAATTACTTGAGTGGCTGACCCTTTTGATTTGCTACTGTTTTTATTCTGTCAAGAGGAAATTGGTGGGTATGGCCTTCGATTGGCCAAAGGGTTTTTCTGTCATTCTTCATTCATTTTGTTGTCCCCCTAATTGTTTTAGAATTATTCTTTTATTATAGCACTCTCTCCTTCCTTTTATCCCCTCAAAAAATTAACAGACCCTCTGACTTGAAAATTGTAGTGATCTTTTTCAAAGCACTATGCCAAAGTTCTTGATAGTAATTTAAGTCTTGGGTTATCAAAGGATGAGTTAGAACCCTTGCAAAAGTTAATAGTTATTCTTTCTTGTTAATTCATTTATCTACTACCTCAGTGGACCCTCTATATGCCAGACACTGTTCTAGGGACTGGAAACTTAACAATGATCAATAAACTAGAATCCCTGATGCTCTGAAGCTCTTGTTCTGGATGGGGCTCCCTTCTCCTCCTGCTTCTTTTGGTTTTGAGCATTGAGATTCACAGTGGTAGGAGAGAGGCAGAATTAGTAGCAGACTGCAGAACCGTGAAAGTACTTTGGTGCGTGCTTCTCTTTCTGAATCACACATGGATTAACTATTACTTGATTTTTGAGGTATGATTGATCTCTTACTCCAATGAAAGCATCTGAGATTCTGCTGAGCGGTCTTACATTAATGAGTCCATTCACCCTGAAAAAGTCAGGACTCCTTAACAAGCAGGTTTGGTTGCTGGCAGCCATGACAGTGTAATCTTGGAAGAAATTAGAAAGAAACAGATCATTTGAGGTGAGGTTGAGGGGCTAGAGAAGAGATGGAGTGGCATGGATGTTCAGATCTGTAAAGAAGTACAGTGAGCTTTTGTTACAGGTGAAGTCATGAGTTCAAATCCAGATGGTTTCATTCATTGTTTGGACTACCACCCTGCCCTATGTGGGACAGCATTAAATGTTTTATGACCCAGAGAAAGCTCTTAGAAATACGTACATATGTAGTCTTTCATTTCTGTTGAGAAATATTGATTCTATAGATAGACTTGCACATATAGGCACCCAGAAAGTATTTGAAAACTGAGGAAAAAAAGGAATGTAAAGCTTCTGTCGATTGTAATCACTCCTCCATACATGTTTCAAGAGTAAGATAATAATTATATAACTATATCTGAAATCCCAGGTTTGTTGATTCTATTATTTTCTGTCTATCTCTCTATCTATCAGCTATCCATCATCTCTCTTAGCAAGAATCAAGGTAAGTCTCCCTTTCATAAAGAAATGAAGCCATAGCGGTCAAAAAAACTTTTCCAAGGTCAAGTTGGCAATAAACCAACCAACTGGAATTTGAACCCAGGTCTCTATATGCTATTGACCCCTATCTATGGGCTGGCTTTGGATAATATAAGAAATTTTACAGCATAGCACAGCAAAGTATAGCAAATAGGAACTGATGCAGAAAGATCTGCATTGAAACCAGGCTCTACAACTTACTACCTGTGTTCTTAGGTAAGTTACTGGATCTCTGTAAGTCTCACTATCCTGGAATGTAAATAACACAAACCCCACGAGGTTTCTTTGAAAAAATATATGAAATAACAGTCATAGTGTTTGACCTAGTACCTGGCAAGTAAAATGTCCGTAGAAAATGGTAGCTGTGGGCTGGACCTGTGAGCCAGTGATTAAAGGAGTTAGATTATGGTTGATGGCAGTTTGAATCCTGATTCTGGTGGCTTGAAATCCATGCAGGGCTTGTGTGTATTCATGCCCCAAAGCACAACAGGAGAGAGAAATGGAGGACATGGGATTGTGGTATGGCCCACACCCCTTAGGGGGATGCTTTCTTTCTCTCCTTTTGTCCCTTTGTCTCTTTCTCTAGCAAGTGCATATGCCTCCTGTGTAATAACAATAATAATAAAAGGTATTGGTTGCCTTCAACACAATTTCATTAGCAGAAACACAGAAATGGAAAACATCTCTGACCATACAGAAAACACCCAGAGACTCCTATAGACTCATCTTCCTACAGAAAAAAAAAAACTGCAAAGAAAGAGGAAGCAGAGAATATTAAATTACTTCTGCCCTAGGCACTAGAGTCATCTATTATTATCATGAAGAGTCTAGCTCCAGCTTCACTGCCCCGCCTGAGTGGTCGCAAAGCATTTATCGGGCATCAGGGAGGCAGCAGGAAAAGGTGTTCACTGACACGTTCTGATAAATGCCACTCCTCACCGTGTATCTCGCCACGCTAGGGTTCCATGTTCCATTTCAATCATCAGTACTCAGCCTAGCACCGAGTAGAGGTCTTAAGCTAATACTGTCCTCCAAATGTAATTTAAAATCAGAGCTAAAAAAAAGTAGACAGTTAAAGAGACTAGCTATTAACCTAAAGACATCTGTGGATGGGAGAAAAAGATAAAGAAAGGTCCCTGAAAGAATTCTGGATTTACTATACTATATATTTATTTATGGGCTTGAAACAGACATGCCTTCTTCAGCATTAACTATTGCTTATTAAAATACAACCCTCACTGGTGTTATTTTCATACATTACTGGTAAAATGCACACTAGCAAAATCTTCTAGGACAAAGAATATGTATGTATGTGTGCATATCTGCATGCACACACCTGCATATACACACATATATACACACATGTATTTGTGTATGTGTGTTTTATCTTATATAGTCATAGCTCTAACCTAGAAATTCAATTTCTGGGTAGCTAAATTAAGTAAACAATTCAAAACTGAGAAAAAGCTTGTGTACAAAGCACAGTCATTATTCATCTGGATATTCAAATTGTCCTATTTGCCCTAGATATGGGGCCAGCCATATTGCCAAAGATGCCCGGTTTCTTTTAGACAAAAGATGGTCAAGGATGGCAACCAGAGATACCAGAGATAGTAGGGATAGCGGTAATATGTGGGCAGGTAATAGAGGGAAGGAGGAAAGGGAAAGGGGAAGGGGAAAAAAGTACATTTAATTAACAAATGAAAAGCAATTTGCTGATGATAATGGATATAGTAATGTCTTTGTCTAAAAAGAAATTTTGTACACTGTAAAGATATATGTGATTAAATGTAAATTAAAATAAAAAAATAATATTTAAAAAAAAAGAAGAAAATGGCATTTAGAAACGCAAGGTATGAAAAAGAAAATGTTGTACCCTGTAAAGATATATGTGATTAAATGTAAATTAAAATAAAAAATAATATTTAAAAAAAAAGAAGAAAATGGCATTTAGAAACCAGGATCCACATTCCAATAGTTTTTTTTTTTTTTTTTTTTTTTTTTTTTTGGGTAATTTACTTTTTTCAGTGGACAGAGCTAGACAATCTTTTTTTTTTTTTTTTTTTTTTAAATTTATGAGTTGATAACAATAGCCACCTCCTAAAAAAAATCATGGGGAAAAAATCATGTTTCATTTGACATCATTGGAGACAGCTCCTGCACCAATTCTTGGTTCTATAATTTGGTAATTAAGGAATATAATTATTCTGTCTTTTATGGAGGTAGGGGAGAAGAGTGACTATATTTTTGGTTGATGAGAAAAGGTGTTCCTAACAAATGAATGCCAACTAATAAATGGAGAAAAAAATGACAGATGGAAGGAAAGAAAGGAGAAAAAAGGAAGATTAGAAAAACTATTTTATAAAAGCAATGAAGTTAAATTAGGACCACCAGTTGCTAAAACCACGGAGTGAGAGGTGGCAGCAGCTGGGGATTCCCCGCAGTGCTGACGTGCTACCCCACACAGAGCTTGCTCTTCGTGAAAAGAAAATGGACCTTTACAGTGAGGACATCTTGTGTTTAACAACAGAATCAAGTGAGCAATGCAGCATGAGTAACAGCGAGCCCATCTGATAGCTGTGTCTCCTGACATGATTCACCATGAAGTAAATGCTATGAAGTATTCTTGCCAAAATTGTTTAACGGGGACCTGATAAAACTGTTGCAACTCACTTTCAGTTCACAGGAAATACAGGGTTTGAGAATAAAACAAGCAGCATCACAAGAAAACCACCAGATAAATGAGGCCCAGTCTCACCAAATAGTTAATGTCATGGAGAAAATGTTAGGACTACTCCAAATCAAAACAGACCAAAAAGATAGGCCAACCAAAAAATAATGTGTAAACCATGACTGAATCTTGTTATAGAAATAGCTATAAAAGACATTTTGGGGGCAATGAGGTGTTCTTTTTGTAGATGGAGAAAGGAATATGATATGCTATCAGAATACGTTAGGTGATTATTTGTTATTGTCTGTGTTAGGTGATTATTATGATAGTGTGGTGATTATGTAAGAATACGTCCATATTTGTATTACATACTGAGATATTTAGTCATAAAGTGTCAGAATGTCTACAACTTACTCTTAATGGATTCGTTCAAAAACATATATGTGTATATATACATATATATATACACAATACACCTATATACATACACTATATACATACACACACACTATACACACACACACACACACACATACATGTACTCAAATATATAGGCAAAATAAACATGGCAAAATATTAACAAGTATTGAATCTTGGTGGTGGATCCAGGCCAATCACTGTCTGATTTTTCTATTTTTCTGTATGCTCAATTTTTATTTTTATTTTTTTTTAATGAGAGAGAGAAAGAGAGCAGGAGAGAATAAG